AGCTTGCCTCAGGTGCCACTTCCCAAATTAGACACACTCATTTTTTTAAAAAGAGCACAAAAAGGATTTTTAAAAGCACAGAAGCTTTTTCCCCCTCCAGTTATCCTATATTGCGCTATTATGGAGCAATTGTTCAGCAGAGATAAGTTATGGTGAAATATGTGGTTTCAAGCAAGCTTTTCCAGAAGATACCCGTACAACGCTTTCCAATTTTTAACTTGGGGCAATAACCTCTAATGTAATTCAAATAACAGGCCATAAAAAGAAGTAAGAAAAGGAAGGAAATTGTCTTTAGAAGTAGTCTTAGACTACCGTAATTCCAATTTGCCACTGCTGCTGGATTCTGACATATAATATCAAGAGCACTATCAAGCAGCAAGGAGGAATCCAATGTGTTTGCCTTACAAACTGAAATGGGCTTTTTGCTTCCAACAATAATTGAGAAATCAGCCTATCTTTTGGAATAGAAATAGAAATGGCACCATTATTTATATGACCTGAAATTTACCTTTCTACCTCTCTCAAGATGATACAGACAAATATTGTTCATTTACATGCTTCAGTAAGCTCTTTAAAAAGACCATTGGTGTTACGCAGATTACACGATCAGGGTTTTCTCAGAAGCCTACTTAGTGTCCATTGCTATGTAGTGGTCTTGGCTAGGTCAACACACACGAAAACCATATCTGCAGGTGGCTGCAAAGACGGACAACTCCTAAATGGTTGAACAGCTTTGCAAGAAGCTGCATTGTCCTTAAATGAAGCTGTGAAGAGTTTTTTTAATTCAACTATGTCTGGGGTAATCGTAGAGCCATCATCATGGCTCCTTCACACCGCCATGTTCCTACACCAAAGGCATTCTCAGATAACATTCTGTGCCAGCTACTCTGCCACTTGATTTCTGGGGACAATTGGGACAGTTGAGCCCCTGTACTTTACCTTTATAATCAGAGAATTTTCCACTTGCTGATCAAGGAATATTTGTACAGAAAAATTAAGACCAAAAGCCAGCTTTACATGTTGGCATGGGCAACATATAGAACATATAGGAAGGGCTCTTAACTACTGTGAAACAACAATATAGCTTAACAAAATCAAAATAAAGCAAGCTAAAAACTCAATTTCTGGTAAGCCTGTTATGAACTCTTCATAGACTCTGTATATTTAAAAGGCTACATACAGTATTAGATAAGATTAGATTATGTTACATGTTGTTGCACTGCATAGAGGAATGTATTATTGAAACTATGACCTGCCAAAACACAGGGTTACGATTTGACCACGAGGTGGGAGCATTGCTCGTCACATATAACCAGGGCACATTAGGCTTTCTCTATATGTACTAGCTGCTCAAGATACAAATATCTCTTATATTTCTGTGCTATAACCTGCAAACCGTGCATGTTACTACTAGAATAATAAGTTCCCAGGACAAACACAAACCCCCAACTTTTTCCTTGTCTGTAATTGCTAGCTGAAAAAGAATATTTGAATAAGCTGTGTTTTGGTCCCTGGAACAAAGAGTTGCACTGAAAACTTTGTATCGATGCTGCAGAATCTTTTCCCAGCAGGAAAAAATAAGGAGGTGGTAGAGGTAATCTGTGAAAGTGGTCATGGGGAGGAATAATTTTCTCATTTGTTGTCAGTTTTGTGAGCAGAAAAAAACTGCAAAAAAAGAAAGTTTGTGAATGTAGATAAAAATTATTTCCATGTGACTGCTTACAATTTTCCATTCAAAGTGTTGAAAGCAACTATTTCACATGGGAAAATCAGGTTTTCCAAAATGTTTTAATAATGTTCTATCCCACAGGAAACATCTGATGAACTACTTGTGCTGATGATGTTTTTGATGGGGCCATGTCTTTATGTGGGAAATGGCAGCCCTGTATCTCTTTTCTTGGAACTGAAGAAAAGGGAAATATTGAGTAACAAGCAGTATCTCCCACAGAAAAAAGCTAATAATATGAAGATTAGATTAACATGAGAAGGAGACTAACCTATGTTCAAGAGACTTACACAGGATTTTGAAGCAGTTAAGACCAAAATCTAAGACAACAGCTTACGTAGCCATCCTCAAGCTAACTTTAAAGTAGTTGGCTTTGGTACGGATAGACTCAGTCATATGAAGCTCTGGCTAGATGCATATGTAGGTTCTTACTGTCTCAGTGACCATGATCCCTGTTTCTGGAGACATACCCACTTAATTATTTTTGGGTAGCTTCAAGGTAACCCTGACACAGAAGCTACATTTCATACATGTGACTACAGTACAGACATACAGCTTCAATGTCTTCATGTCCACATGGGATAGTTATTCTATGTGTCCCTGGCTGCTTGGTTCCCCATGTAGAAGGACAAATATGCTAGAAACATTTTGGCATGTATGTATTCCAATAACAAGATATTATAATCATTTCCTTTGTATATGCTTAGAAAGCAACTTGGACACAGATTCTGCAAAGATTTATGCAACATACATTCTATGGCTTTCTTCTCTGGGTGCAGGATCCCTGCACAGTAGGACAGGGCAGCAGACTGACCTAAGTGGGGTGCAGGGCTCTAGCTGATGCTAATGGGTGGTGGCGAGAAAGCTGAAGCCCTCATGGTAAATCTGCACAAATGGGCACCTGTTTAATACAAATACAGCCCAGCTACAGACTGAACAGAGGCTGTAAAATCCAAGGACCCTTGACCCTGCAAAAAGACCAGGCTGAGTTTCACCCACCAGCAAACTACATGTGGTAAGTGCATTATAGCTGTAACCTCAATCTTCCTAGCTCTCCTGCTTAATCTTTTTTTTTCCAGCATGTGAAAGACCATGTACTGGCATGTGAGAAAGCATATGTTCGGGTAAACATTTCAGTGGTCTGCAAACAGCTATGTATTATCCATGGATAATGTTCCTTTCTCCACATCCCTCATATGGCTGGTAAGGAGATTTGCTCTGGAGTGAGTAATGGACAGAACAGGTTGTGCAGTATTTGTCAAAAGAGAAGCGCACTCTAGCACTTTCCTTTCTAAAGCACACCATTCGTAATTTTTCTCCTGATTTCTATCCATGAGATCATTAGCTATAACCTGTCTTTACAGCCCTGAATGAAAAACATTCAGCCTACAAATTTTCCTTGCATGGTTACAGCTGCTTATTAACTGTAATCAGCTGGTCCCATGGTACTGGTCTTTTCCCTAAGGGGATGAACAGAACATTTTCTTACAGGAGAACAAATAGACATTAAAAAACTAATACTACACAAAGACTTGCAACTTGCAAGGAACTAAATTCACACCCTCACTCTTCAGGTCAGCATGAAACATTCACTCCTTGGTCCACCAGCCCAACTAAATAGGTGCCCCTAATCTTTCTGAGATCTTGAGAGTGCGGGCCTTCAAACGTAACCTGCTCCTCAGAGTTAGGGATTCCTGGGTCTAGTCTCTTGGCTGGGCTGATGCTCCTGAGTCCTTCTAAAGAAGCCCCAGTCTTTCTGCGTCCACCTGGTCCTGTCAGGGCTGCAGCCTTCCAGCACAACCACTCCTCAGCCGTTGCCCACTGCAGTGGGGAGAGTAACCATTCTGTCCATTAATTCTTCTGGGGCCTTGATAGTTACATACAGCACTGCATACATTCATGAACATCTAAAGAGTTATTTGAGTTATTTCTTACTTGAGCTAATTGTTATTTGAGTATTTGTGCTTAATTTCTGCATGATGGCAGAAAGAGTTGTGAATGGTACTTGTTCAAGACTGTTTTCCTGACAGACAGTTAACTCAAGTGTGTAAATAATATGACCCCTTAACAAAGTAATTGAATATTCCTAAACAATTGTTGCTAAGGGGCCTCTTTAAAAAAGGTACATATTTATGTGTCTGAAATTAATACATGCTTCTAGATGAATTTTTCTACATTTTTAATTGAGGTATCACATTTTCTTCTTATTTATCACTTTGCTAAAGCAACAGGAATTTAAAGTAATTTCTTAAAAGGAAGCAATAAAAGAAAACATAGTATCATTCTAAACTGCAGTATTTACTATGAGGCTGTCTTTCTTGACCAAAAAACCAAAGTACTGTATTATTTTCATTTAGGAATAGCTGTGTTTCAGTGGATTTCACCAAGACATACACAAAGAAAATGTTAGCTCTAACATTTGTATCCATTTATTTTGCTACCTAATACTTCAGCAATCACTTTGGGGGCAACACGGGTTCAGATACTATCTCAGAGCCCTGTGGTATGCAGCTGAAAAGGTGCAAAACTGTAAACATACCATAGAGCTTACAGCTTGTTTTCCACTTTGCTGAGGCTACTAAAACCTCTGTGGACCCCTACACTAGGCTCGGACTCATTTGAAATTATTCCTAGATGCCCAAGAAACCATCCTATGGCTTGGGATTGCTTCAGTTCCACAATGTTTCAGCAACATCCCTTTTATATAGTATCCTTAATAGGACCTCTATGCTGATGTGCTCACTCCTGCTTGTTTCCCAGACCTGTGGTTTGACAGCACTTGGCAAATTCCCCCTCAGACAATTAAGTCAAGAAAGCTTTGTGTTTGTATTGGTGTAGTATAACATGCAATCATGAAAAACAGGGACACCTTGTGCAGGGTTTTTCTTAGTTCTGTTTTTTGCATCTCCCATGAAGCCTGTCCTAACAGAGAGCAGAATACAGCCCAAAGGAAGTCAGAAGGATAGAACCTCACAAATCCGCGTTTTCTATTAAGCAACTCTAATAATCCAGGCTTTTTCTTGCAGGCACTGCACAAAAATTGATGGATAAGGCTTACCAACAGAACAACTAAGTGGTGCTAGGCATTATGTGAAAGAGATGATTTTCCCCCAGAATGCCGCAATGGCTTTTGTCAAGTCTAATGACTGTTTCTGTTAAGTCTGTTTGCGGTTACCACACAATTTTTTGGGTTTAGGATAAACTGTGCATGTTTAGGAAACAATAGATTGCATATAAAAATGGGTGACAAAATGTAATACAATGTTGTCCTTACCATCTGTTTTCTTTGATTCATCCCCCACACTAGACTGATCTTTTTTGTCCAACTTATTGTCTTCCTTTAATTCACCTAGAAAGAAGCAATGAGAAACACTGTAAGCATTTTAATGCAGACTGCAGTTTATCAATGCCTGTAACTCAATCAAATTGCAACATCCAGAGATGTTCCTTAGGAGAAAAGGTCTGAATTCACAAGGAACTGGATTAACACATGTTCACAGAATATAGCACCAGGCAAAATTTACCCAACTCCTACAGAAAATCAAGCTTTACAATCTACTTTAAAATTTATTCTAATTGTTAGCACCCTTTTAAGTGCACATGCAAACTCATACTCCCTCTGGTTGTATGTAGGCCATCAAAAATCTGAGCACAACCTTCATTTCAAAATCAGGACTCTGAAACATTTGTGCTTTTAAAGGACTAAGACCCTGTAAAACTTCATCATAAGTCTTCTGCATTAAAGAACCACTTTCGATATCCCACACAGTCCTATATAATTTCGTCTTACTTTCTATTACTGGTTTCCTTTATCCACAGATTCATTTGGGTTGGTCCTTTGATGATGGTACCAGAGAACAAACAATCATCCCAGCTTGAGAGTCTCTATAGCAAACCAGGTAAGCAAGGCCTTTGACAGACCAATGGTTGATGCAGAATGAAAACGGCAGCTTGAGCTGGGGTGTATTTTATGAAGCCAGGAAGGTCAACCAGAGTCATTCCCATTTTCTGTCCTTTATTAGTCATACAGCAGACCACATCAGACCTTCCCAGACCACCCCTTCATTGAATGAGAATGCCAAATGCAAGATCAAATGAAAAGTAACTTATAGGGAGAGCTCTAGCAGAACAGGGCTCTTTCAGCTGCAGTGTCCAAACAGCAGCAAAGAAGGTGTCCTTCCTTCAGGTGGCCAGAGAAGCAACAGCAGCCTGCCCAGATGGGAGCAGGCAGCTTGTCCTTTCCGCCCAGAGGAGTAGTAGTGAACTTGTCCCCCACACCTCAACAAAAAAAGCTGTAAATCCTCACTTCGGAATTTTGTATATGTGAGGTTGTTACAGGGCTGTATTAAAGTAATGCTTATTCCACTTGTATTACTATTTTTGTTCCTCAGCCTCTAGATCAAGATTATAGGTATTATGCGTAAAGAGCATCTGGTCTGCCTTCAAAATAGTCATGGCCAGTGGATACTTATTTTTGGAACAGCTCAAAAAAAGAGAAATTGTAGAGAGGCAAAGTCTCCCTCTTTCACATCATGCACTAATCACAAGAGTATTTGTTATTCTTGGATGACAGAGGATTGATCTCTTTTTCCAATTAAGTTTCATCATAGTATAAAAGAGGAATGGTTTTCAAATCTTAAAATATTTAACAAGATGGGAAAAACATGTCCTGTTCAGTTCTCATTCAGAGCCAAAACTTTTCATGTTTTTCTTCCTAAGTTCACTGTGTGGGTGAGAGAAAAATGAAAGCAAGATGATACAGGACAAGCAGCAACCTTCTCTGCTGATCACACTGCCACTGACTTGGGCTCCTTGAACAGACAAGTATGAGCAGGTCCAAGCAGGGTTGAAGTGTCTGCTTGATGAAGGTGGCCTCTGAAAGGACACTGTTTTCAGGAAATGAAATGAAAATGTATTTAGCAAAGCACAAAAGTCTGCTCACATTTCCTCCACCATCATATAGCTGATGGCAATGATGAGCTAACAATAAGCTAAGAATTTGACCATTGCATAAAGAAGTTGCTTGACCCTAAGTGTGGGCAGGAAAAGATGATGAACACTCACACATACGTTATTTCAGTTTGATTTCTCTGAGAAAGCACGCGGGCAGCGAGTGACAGAGAGACTTCAAACTCATCTGACAACACAATTTCTGAACTTTCATTGAATATAACTTACTATGAATAGGGGACTTTTGAGTATTGTAATATCTATCCTGCCATACTGCCAGCAGCAGAGCAGAACGATGATCATAATCACCTTTTTGAAAGGGATTACAAAGGCAGAGAAATAATAAGGCAAATACTTTACGATGAGATATTAACATATAAACGTAAAGGAAGCTGTGGTGAACCCAGAGATATGAATGTTAAGATTTCATCAGTCTCTAAAGACTCTGCAGTGATTGTACCTCATAAAGGCCTTTTCCCATAAATTAAGGAGCAGAATTTCTTTTCCTGAGGAAGACACTAATTTTCAGAAATCATTGTAATTCCTTTCAAAGCATTTTTGACACCTGCAGCAGAGAGACATTGCAGAAAAAGGTACTGTCAAAATCACTAGAGCACACTTAACCCCCGTATTGTTAGAAGCATGTAAAACAAAGGATTTCAGAAGAAAAGTCTGATGCAGTCTAACTGGGATTTCATATGCCCCCAACCTTTTTGTCTCCTTAGGGGACCTATTTCTATTCACCTGCGTAACACTGTCTGAAGAAAAATCCCATATGTAACAGAGCATGACAGCTTGGATCCCCATAGTCCTTCCCAATCTAAAAAAAATCCTAATGATGAACGGTCACTGGGAAAGGCCAGCAGCAAAGTCAAATCCGTACTAATCATATCAGGAATGTTTTAAACAGAATCTCTGCCTCTGCTGCCATCTAAACTCACTGCCTGAGCCTGGGCCTTTCCAAGACTGTATGCTCACTCAGGCCTTTTCTGAAAGGATGCTTCTGAGTCTAAGATTTTTACTGCTTTCAGACTGACTGATACTAGCCAAGTCTGTGAGAAGTCACATGTGGCTGTACTGCCATTTTTTGGTAGTGGATTCAGGGAGCAGGAGCTGGGGGGGGGAAGAGACTGATCTGTTCTCATGGGTCTAACAAATTGTTTTTAATGTTTAATGCAATTTTCAAACATTTTTTCCATCTTTTTGGGTGCAAAATGTGATTCTTATCTTAACTCAGTTCTATAGCAAATTAAAACACTGGAATAAAATTTCTGACAAAAAAAAATCTCCCACAAAAGGCTTGTGACTGCCCTAATAAAAAAAACTGAGCAAAGGAAGGATAAATAAAGTAACTCTTAAAAACAGAGAGGGGGGAAAAATCCTCTGTCACAAAACATATTTATATCTGAGACTTAGTTCAAAGATACCTTTAGCGGGCCCTAAAAAGAGGTTATAAGCCAACTTTAGCTTCTCTTCTGTCAGTTACCCAATCAATGAAGCTGTTCATTGAACCAAGAATTCTTGTTTCAGCTTTTAAGTGTGTATCATAACAGGCTGCTTCATTTCCATGAGAAAAGTAATTTTTTCCTTTCCTCCAAAAATGCCCAAGCAGGTATGATGGACCCCTTCTTTTATGGAAGAACGCTGCTTGGGAGTTAATTTACAGATTCCAGTTCCTGTATGCAGGTGGTTATGCCAACATCCAAAAAGAGGCGCTGGGCCCAGGACATCCTTTTTCAGGACATCAGGTGCCCCCATCACTGGGGTGACATACTAATTGGGTTTAGGGCTGGATTCACGTTTCAGTGGATGGAGTGAACTCACCATTCTGGACATGCTGTTCCACTGCATGATGAGATTCTGTTCCCTTATCTGTCCTAGGTGCATTTTTCCCTTGAGAGGCTTCGTGTTTGTTCACCCCAGTTTGCCGAGTCCCATTAACATGATTCTTACTGGAATCTGTGCTTTTGTTTTCCCCAGGATTTGGTTCTTTGCTGTTCTCTGTCTTTGCTGCTGTGGCATCTTCAGCTGGCTTCTTCTCATCCTTTTCATCTGTTTTCTTTTCATCTGTTCCCTGATGAGCATTTTCCTCTGCTTCTTTCTTAGCTTTTTCTTCTGCATCCTCAGCAAAGAGAGAAGCAACACGAGGAAAGAAATCATGATTATCAGTCAATTTGACAAGAATGATACAACTCACACGTCTAAATCTACTTCAGCTTTTTACATGCAAACAGCTTTTACTTAGATAAATGTAGGAATTGACTTGACAAGGGAAAAAGAGCACAGGAGAACATTTAAGAAAGTATTCTGAAAAAAACACCCCATGTTGGCATAACTGTGTATTATGTGCACATCCTTTTTTTACCGTATAAGGTTCACCTTTGAAAATGCGGTCCCCAAAATTCTTAAGAGGCAAATTAAAAAGAGATATTATCTATTGAAGGCTGTAAGGGTGCCAAGGTTAGTTTCATTTTTGACACACAACAATCAGTCAAACAACATTCAGTTTGTCTCATACCATACCATGTAACTCTAAGCACATAAAAAGTCTTGGTTCTTTGATATCTACTTTTTTTCCTTCTTGTTCCAGGTTGCTTCCAATGCCAGTTTCCTAATCTCTTCCCTTCCACGTGCTGTTATCCTTTCTTTATGGCTCTGTCCTTTCTTGGCAGACTAATATATTGCTACTAGTACTTGCCCTTCCATCCCAAAAAATCTTACAGTGAATCACAAATACACAAAGGTATAAGTTCAAAAGTGAGTGTTGAACAACAGCAGCATCTCAAAATACTTCATTCAGAAAAAAAAAAAAATCACAGAGAAGCCAATTGTCCCCATTGAAGATACCGCTCTTGTGCTTATCCAAACCTTGGGTCCTGATGCAACACTTACTTATAATACAGGTTTCAATTACTTTGGCTACGGGTGTTGACACCACTACATTTCTAGACCAGGTCGGGTACAGCACACTCCCACAGAGTCAGCTTCAAAGGCTCTCTGTGGCTTCCCGCAACACACTGGAAAGCAGGACACAACCGCAGTCCCTCAGCGCAGTCCTCAAGCTAATAAACCCGTCTGGACACACATAGACTCTGGGCAGACACTCCATGATTTTCTCCCTCTTCTCCATGATCAATAGAGAATTAATTGGGAAAAACAGCTGAGTAGCTCAACACACACTCAGTTTGGAACCTGTAAGCTTATGCAGCTTCCAAGTGTATCTACACCCATACTGAGTCTAAGCATTCAGATGTGACTGCCCTATGCCTATATACAAGATTTCTGGGTCTGCAATATCCCGGCCCACCCATCACCTCATCATGGACAACCAATTGCACTTTAATTGTGATAGGGATCATAAATAGATGTATCTCCTGGTTTCTGAGACACTGTGTAAGCTGATGATCAGATGAACGGATCCTACAAGACACTGAATAAAGTCTACCTTGGTCCTATGGAAGCATTCTTGACACCTATAGGGAAGATGTTTTGTTCCTTACAGGAGCAGGGTCTTGGCCAGTGAGTAAAAATTAAAAAAAAAATTCTAAGTGTCTTGTCAAATACTTCTTATGAATGAATCAGAACCAGTTTTGAGAAAAACGTACCAATGGGATACAAGAGAGAAAGGGAGAAAGCTGTCTTTACAAGAAATGCCAATCTATATTTCTTTGCCAGCAGCTAACTAAAGTTAATTAATTTATAAATTAATAAATTATGGCTCACATGAAAATATAATTAAATCAGATATGATCCTCCCTCACTTTATTAATCATTCCTGAAATCTATGGTAGCTTCCATAGATAGCTCAGCTATGCATGCTGATATTTTCCCTGGAGTCTCATGGTATACAGAAGGTTTCCTCTCGTTTGGGGATCTGCAAAAAATGCTGCATTTTGCACCTGAACCACGGGAGAGAGATTTGGCTCAGGAGACTGGGGCTTGCTACAGCACCACTGGACGAGTGCCTCTTGTCAAAATCAGTGTCAGAAAATACTTTACCTAAATGGTGCTTTGCGCATCGGGGTGTTTGTTTATTCAAGTTTTTAATTTGTAGTCATTTAATTATGATCCTTTAAGCAAAAAGAGATCAGTAATAAACCCACTTACTTTGCCCACACAGCCTGAGAAATTTTCTATAAATACCACACTCAGGATAAAAACAGCTCACTGATGCTTCTAGGGACAATGCCATTACCAAAGGAATACAGTATTCTGCAAATTATTTAATAATAGTAATAGTAATAATAATAAAATGTGGGTTTCCTTCCCTTCTGATCCCCAGTTGCTATTTGTTGTCGATCAACACTTAAATGCTTTATCTGTCTTCTCTTAATAATTCTTATTTTACTGGCAGAACATCTTGATGCATTGCAAGACACTGGTTTGACGGGGGTCAGCAATTTAAAGTCCTGCTGTGCGGCAGGCCCTGCTGCATATGGCTAAGACGGGCAAGGCAGATGGAGGGGGGTGCAGAAACGTGCTGCGAGGCAGGAGCAAGACAGCAGCTGAGCAAAGGTTTTGATGTGAGGGCTCTGGAGTCCAAAACCAGTTCCTTAGTCCCCAGCCCATACGAAGGTATGCTGAGCCATACATTTGTATAAATCTTTCAGGGTAAAAAAAAAAAAAGCATGCTTGTAACGCTACATGCACCCAAACCCACAGAAATTATGGGAAAGTTAATGAATTCAGATGACCAGAAGCTGAGACTGATTTCTGAATATTTGACCCATAAACCAGGGCCCTGATCCAAGTTATTGGTGATGAATTTTGGCAAAACCATTAAGTAAATCAACTATTCAGGGCTAAAGCTTGTCAGAAAGATAAAGATGAAATGACCTACTCAACGGCTCCCATGCCTAATAATGCAGACTGGTGAGCTCTCTGCTTTCAAGTAATCCATTAATTCTTCCATAGACTACCCTCAGGAGCTGCCAGAAGGATTTTTTTATGAGGCAATTAAAAATAAAAAATTTTGCTCTCCAGCTAAAGTATTAATAATCAAACACTTATCATCAGGATACTCTGTAAAGAATGGATATGAAATACTGCATCAATACATACTACCAGTAGCAGCATTAGTTAAGCAATGCGTGCACATCCACTTGAATCATAACTTGACATTTACATGTGCATATTTAGAAAAAAGTCTTTATGCAAAGCAGTCACTGCAAGTGGGTACAAAGCACATTTAAAAGTTAAATAGCCAGAATCTATTATGATCTACTCTATATATTTGTTTTAGATAAAATGTAAGACGTTTTATTTATTTCCCCATGGGCCTCTCTTGCATATTGGATTTTTGTCTAGTAGATCCTTAGTAGACAAGCAAATGTGTGTGGTACATGTTAAAACAAAATCCTCAAAACTAGTTAACTGTATTGGCTTCATTCACTCAACACTCCTATACTGTGAGACACTGACCATGTTAAATGCTTTGATTTTTTGGTTAGCTTTAATTTGTTTGGTCCACAAAGAACCATGAAATAGTAAATACCAATTAAAAAAAAAAAAAAGCTAAAAAAGCCACTGGCAAATAAGCAGGTTATTAATTATATTTTTGTTTTCATTTTCATGGAATGCCTAGAAAGGCTTTTCCTGAATGGGAAGTTTTTATCACAAAGGAAAATTTAATTTGAATAATAATGAATGCTTTCCTGCACCTTTCGACAGGCCTTTCAGTTGGAGAGGAACAACCTGCTCTAGCAAATAGGAGAACTATGCCAAATCTCCCATCAGCCCTGAAGCCAAGGCCACGTAATACATTAAAATTGAACTCCTTCCATTTACATAAAATACAACAACTCCATTAAATAAGGGTTTGAGTAACAAGTGTTAAGCTCAGAGAAGAAATTGTATCACAGTTTCATGAAGAAAAAAAAAATTAGTTGGTGATACATTCCTCCTTTTTTGGTTCCAAAGCTGGTCTAAATCACCCCAGGGCTCAAGGAGACCTTGGGCAACCATCCAGACCCAGGAGGCAAGGGGCAGTTATACCTAAGTCATTCTCAACAGATGGCTCTCATTAGTTCCAAAAGTTCTCCAACAAGAGAGATTTGCCAATGTCTAACCTATTATCAGGTTATAATCACCTGCCAATTTTTTCTCCTCTTAACAGCCCAGGGTATTTGAATAGAAAAGTAGTTCCCTTGTTTTGCAGCTGCAGTGCTCTTCAGAGAAGCAGCTATAAACAACAGTTATCGTCATTTGCATTGCTGTACTCTATATTGTCTGCAACCAGTCCATATGCTTCCTGAACTGCACTGGCCAAAACTGGACACAGCACTGCTGTGGGGGCCTTGTTACTGCTGGAAAGATGGGAAGAATGCCAGAGGAGCCTGGGAGCAAGGTCTGTTTTGGGGTTTTTTCAATAGCATGACAATATTGAGCTCTGGTCAACTTGCAACCAACACAGCCCTCATTTTCTTCTGCAATTTTTTCAGTCTCTCCCAGATTGATGACACCATGAGCACTTGTAGCATAGTTCCCAATTCATTATCCAAGTCATCACTGGAAATATAAAACCAGCTGTGAATCCAGAATATCCTGCTCTGCTCCCCTGAACTATCATCCATACCTCTTTCAATCTTAAGAGCGAACAATTGATAACCTACCTCTACAAATGCTATTCCAGCTATTTTCGCACCCACCCTGAGTCTGACTCATGACTTTAGGGGACCTCCCTTAAAATCATTCTTTTTTCCTCCCATTGTCCACATCCTCTTCATTATGTACACTTACACCACGTAAAAAAACTAGAAGGCACAGATGAGTCACAATATTCCTATCTTTCTGAATTCAGTGTAGGTTGTTGACCTTGAAAAGCAGATTCTTTCAAACTAATAGTGCTTACTTGGAGAATAATTTAATTGAAGAAGAGCTTGAAGAATAGGTCAAAACGGTCAAAAGAATTTTTATTCTTTCACTAAGAAGTCTGGCTGTTACCTTTGGTGGCTTGTGCTTTCCATTTCTCCCGGTTCTGCTGCACCACCTCAGTCCAGGTGGTTTTAAAACATTTGAAGTCCACAGTGAGTATGGAGCAGTTGAGTGAGGCACTTCCTTCGGACCCAGTGCTCTTGACACTTGATCTTTTAACTTCGGAGGGACTAATGCTATTCAGACTGGGACACAAGATCACAAAATACAGAAGAAATCAGTATCCCATACACCCAAATGCAGCTAAGAAGAAATAATGACTGTAAGTCTAGATAATAAGAGTCAACCAGGAAAGCCAAAAACTAAGCTTGAATCCCTCATCCTCCCTTCCCTCCCCTCCACCCCAGGGCAACAATGTTAAAGCAACAGCACAACCTGAGCCAGTATTAGAGACAAAGGGCAGCTTTTACCTGCTTTTTTTTGTGTTCATAGTCCCTAAGAAACAGAATCTCTCAAAGTGTTGCCATTACCTTTGCTGTGCATCTTCATTCCCTAAATACTCAGTGGAGAGTCAGATAATTCTAGAAATCAAGTATGTCAAAGGAGCCTCCTAAAATTCACCAGTGGGAGCCATTAGGCACAGGACAGGAGGCCAACCTTTGTGCAGGGTTTGGCGATCTCAGCTGAGGCTGAAATCAGGCACTCATTTCAGTTACAGACCCTACAGTTGTCTTTTAAGGATGGACACTTCATTGCAGACATTTTAATAAAGACAGCAAGATAACTGGCTTGGAAAGATATTCGTGCTCGCTCTTCGTATAACAGCCCAAGAGTAAGGAATTAACTTGGGAGAGGGAATCCTGACTTGGTAGCCCTACTCTAGGGAGCACTAGCCACGTCGCATTTGAATGCCAAGACATGCCCTGACCATGAAACTATTAAAAGAGTAGTTTCTCTACAACAGCAGAGCAGGTTGAATGGGCCAAGACTCCTCACACCAGGTGAATTCTGGTGGTACTTCACATGTTTGTATACCCGAAATACTGTTGCTAAAGTGTGCTTATACTTTCCAGTCCTCTTTTGTATTTCAATCCTATTTATACTTCTAGACATGAAGAAATTAGTACCTCCCAATGACTCCCTCTACCTTCTCTTTGATTAGTGACTGATAGAGCACTAAAATTTACCTGATTGCATGGCTACAACCATTTGTGCTCACTGCCTTTGGAGGCATGGCTCAGGTTCATGCCAGCCTCCCTCTTTGCCCTCCCTGGGCTGGAGTTTCCCTTCAACAAAGTCACATCACAAGGTGAGCTGCAGTGTGGCAATGCGGATACGGGGCTTTAAGCTACATGGAAGACATATACCATGGCGGGGGGGAGGAAACCAGGGGAGTTGGACTCAAGGGCAGCATGTGCAGAGTGAAGGGAGAGGGTTCATAGTTATTCACCTGGAACGCCTGAACCCAGACATGCCAGAGCGGGAAGCTTCATCGATGAGTGGAGTAACAATCTTCTCGGTCATGTCAGTCAGCACAGTAAAAGTGGGTTCCACAATGAAATCAATGAAACCTGAGCAGAAACACAAGCAGAGTCAAGCAGTCAAGAGGAGGATTTATGTGGAGTCACTGCTTCAGTGATCACAGACAACCACACTGTAAAAGACAGAGTAAAAAAATTATACCTTGAAAGAGGGATAGGCAAATGATAGAAAGGGAAAATGGCGTTATACATTAATCCCTGACCCAAGAGCCTGGATATAGCATGCAATAAAAGGTACCTACTTAAACACTGGAAAGAAACTGGCAAATCAGAACATAAACAGATGCATCAGAACTTGTTTTATAAGAGGAGAATGATATTTAAGCCAAATTCCTAGCAGATTTGGATAAAACCCAGTTTCAAACATGAACTCTCTAAATGCAGAAAATTAACATAACAGTAATAATACTGGTAAGCTTTGCTGGTGTGGAGTCACACACAAACCTCCCTTACTGCGCATCAGTGGGTTGCTGTGAATATTCTCTCCTCAGTGCTCGGCCAGCTTGTCCTTGTTGAAAAAAAAATAAATCATAGGTCTCACTCACCCCCCCCACCCCCATTTTTAATATAGGGAAAGGAAAAAAATAAAGGGCCAAATAATTTCTACTTTAGCATACAGTTTGGCAGAGATGAATACGGCTCTGATCTGAATGTTGGGAAGGGCAGACTGAAGAGCCCTGTGGCCATGCACTTATGAGATGAAGGAAAATCCAAGTTCATGGAAAAAAAAGTGAGAGTGAGGAGCTTATAGTACCTTACACCTTCCCCTGAATTCTCACCTGGGCCATATTTCTTATGTTCATTTTGGCACTTCACTTAGCAAATTTCTTAGTGTTGCAGGTAGCCAAGAAAACAATGATGTCCTTAATCCCTCCTAAGGCACATGGGGATTCAGGTATTTCCCTATTGTTACAATTGTTAAAGATTTGGCCATTATCAACGATTAATTATACATTCATAATGTTATAATTTCTCTGACTCGGTCATGATATATTTCTGTGACAGACTCTGGCAATTCTAGGTGATAACAGAACAATAAAAGGAGAAGAGACCACATGGGCCAGGCACCTGAATTCACAGATGCTTAGATCCACGTCTTGAGTGCAAAGCAGTTGAGCTTTTCAATCTCCCACCCCTCATTTTCCATTTCCCTCCCCTGTTTTTTGCTAAATTTCTGAAGGGATGGGTAACTAAGTGTATTTTCATGCCTAGCCAAATTAAAAATGTTACTTGCAAGTTCTCAGAATTTCATACTAACATTCTGTAAATCTGGAGAAAATATGCATGCAGTCTTATCTGAACATCTGAGTCATGTGCCTCCATAACACTGAGACATTCTTATCTATAGGAAAAAAGAACTCCCTTCCTCCCAGGGAGTTAATCAGAAATGTATGCAGTATAAAGCCATGACAGGAAATTGTGGGCTAGATCACAACCCAGAAAATCCCAGCAAACTTGATTTTGAAAACACTGGAAATTGTACTGACTGAGAACAGTGTTTACTGTGGCACAGGAATCCTGAGGATAATGAGAACTTGATTTACATATGTGTGTGTGTCTGCCTTTCTGTATGTCTCTTGTATTCCCCTCCACTCAAAAAATTTTTTACCTCTTAATGACCCCATCAGCCTTTATCCAATGTTTCCTGAAGCTGTAATTTTCTTTCTTGCCAGCCAAAGGACAAAAATAAAAGGATGCTGCTACATTTATCAGCTGCAAAAGAGGACAATGACAACAAAGGCTGATGTCCAGTCAAAGAAGCTTCCTACAGCCTGAGACTGACAGAGAAGCTTTAACTCTTGATATTCTTGTTGGGAAATACAAGACTTGGCCTGGTTTTCTTTGCAGTTTGTTTGTCTCCCCCACTCTGATAAGCAGCCTGACTTCTGAATAGGAATCTGTCCTGATTTCTGTACTTCATTGTGGTACAGAAATATTTACCACACTCGTTCAATTGAAGAAGAAAAATGATGATAAATTGGTCATCAGCATTAACATTAATAGGTTTTAAAACCCAGGTTCATTATTTGATATTCAGGGAGGTTTAATTATCAATTTAAACTCTGAACAATTTCTTCATGTTAGATTGGCTCATTTCCATGGAAAAAGTCAGTACTGCAAAACCTTCAGTCTGCATGTGTGAAAATCTTTCGTTAATAAAAATGCTTGCCCATTGTTGTTGAATCTGCAGCAAACCAGCCACTACAAACAAGTTGAGCCTCCAGAACAGGATTTCTAGGCTCTGTCCCCGACAGAACCAAGACCACAATTTTACTTCACAAAGGACAAAGGTTTTTTATTTGTAGGAACTGATGGCTGCTTGGTGTAGATAATAGCACAATTTGGAATTCAATAAAAACTTACTTTTGCAAAGAAATGTAGTAATTACTATTCCAGGGAATGATTTATTAAGACTATTAATCAGGTAAACAAATGACTGGGAACAGATTATTTGCCTGAGAATCTACCCTACAATTTTGAAAGCCTTACCTCAGCAGATAGCCAGAAAATATAGAAGGTTTTGATTTAACAAAGGAGACATTACAGAAAGACACTGCCAATATGAGCAGCAGACTGAGAAATGAAAATTTTATAATGCTAGAAGGCAAGATTTATACAGAGTAGACTATTAATGTCAATGGATTTGTGCAGTTCTAAACTGCACAAATTGAATATAATGACAAATAGCGTATGACTAAATAGGGCTGGCTTTGCACACTGAGGAGTGCCTCTTTTATAAGGTGGAATTGTGTTGTTGGTGGTTTAATTAATCATTAATTGTGCAGTGGCTTGACACAAGGGGCATCCATATAGAAGTCTCTCGGCTCTCCTGGCCTTCCAGAGCAAAGCACAAAAGAGGAGGACAAGGAATTTTGGTTTCCAAGCACACACAACCCTACATAGAGGGACCCTGTGGGAAGCAGAACCACTCTTCCCTGTAAGGAGTGAGGTACGTATCTGAAAGCTGATAGAAGGGATCTGAAAAAGAAGTCTCTACATGAGCTTCCCTCACACCAGACAGAGAGAAGAGAGAGTTTCTCTTCTCCCACAGCACAGCAGTAGGTGTAGGCGGCTCAGGAGTCCTCAACACAGGTTTTAGCTGAGACTGCAGCACTTCAAGTTTGCTGCTGCTTCCCTCCACTGAGCTGCAGACAGAACACAAATGTCCTCAGCAGTTGCACTGTGCTCCATACACATTCCCACTCTTCTGGGTTACCATTGCAGAAGAGTAAATGCTAGAAGTCTGGCAACCAGGCCAGGCTTGCGTAGGCTTTTCAAGTTCAGATTCTTGGCTGAACTGTCTAAACTTCCAAAGCCAGAAAAATATGGGATGGGGTCCCTTGGAGAATGGCTTGCCCAACAGGAACAATGAAATAATTTTAAACAGAAACAGCTCTTAGCCACAGATACGAATCTGAACTTTCCTAGGTTCAGGGATATCTTTGTCTTTGAGAGACAATTTTTTGGTTTGTTTTTCTTTAATACATTCTCTCTCTTTCTGCTTCTGGACTCAATTCCCTCATTTTTAGGGTCTGCATTATCTTTCTTTTGTTATTCCATTTGGCATCCTATTCTCCAAGTCAAGGTTAGATCACATTCTTCAGTCTACTTCATTTGCTTCCTAGGAATAAAAATCCACCCACAAATCCACCTTTTCCATTGTCTTTTTTTGCTCCCAGGCTCCTGAGCCATTCTACTTCACTTAGCCTCTCTTGTTTTCCCACCAGACACCGAGCTTGTTGTCTCATCCTTCTACTTTTTCACTCAATAACTGCAGGAGAGGTAGAGAAAGCACTGTTGGTGAATCCGTAAAAAGATCTTTGTTTCTGAATGGGTGGAGCAGAAAAAGGGTTGCTATTTGCTTGGCTTCAGTGAAAAATATTGGTTGGCTGGAAGCACGGGGCAGGGAAAGGGTGGGAGGAATAAAAGGGAAAAACACACAAAAGGTTTTGCCCAGGTCATAGAAGGGACTGACATTACATTTTCATATCCACCAATGATACTCATATCACAGCACGTTGCTGTGTGCACCTCATCTTCACAGCTCAGAAAACCATGGCATAGTGTCATAACCAGGCACTATAGTCATCTCTGCAGACATGAGAGGTAAATTGGTCACTGCATGGAACCACCACCATAAATTTAATGGCTCCTCAGCTTTGAACTGTTGATCTGGGGAAAATAACGCCATTGTGCTTTATTTCCTCTCTTTAACATAGTTCCAAATGATGAGAGATCACTGCGATCTTAGACCCACAGGGAGGAGTAAGTTTTGCTTTTAAGATGCTACTTTGCATGCACCAAAAGGGACGTACCTATTTGAGACTGAGCAACCATAGTAGACTTGCGATCACACAGTGGAGAGAAAGGAAGCCCTAGTTCTGCTTCTTTGTCACCCTGGAGAAACAAAATTTAGAAGAAATTAGAAAAAGACAAGACACATTGCACTTTGGTATCTTAGGTCATGACTGTAAAACCCTCTCATTTTACTTTCTTTAATTAAGTTTTGATTTTGATTTTGCTGGTTTGTTTTTTTTTTTAACACAAATTGTGGAGAATTTGAGTCTGGCTGGAAAAGTTGTAGCCCAAGCTGAAGTCGGTGAATTAAGCATCTTTATTCCAGTGGATCTTTCCTCAGAGCTTTCCCTGCCTGCTTGGTACTTCTATGCACCAACTAAAAACTCACTTGAGCACAAGAACGCTTCTCACTGCAGTTATCCAGAGAACCCAGCAGAATTTAGTTCTCAGAGCAAACCTTCCAAGAGAAAACATCAGTGTCAGGACTGATTTTTAAGGACTTGCACTTCTTTGCATGTCTTTTTTAGTCTTTCAGGTAAGAAATTCACAGGTCACAGGTGGCCAGATGCAGATTACCTTTTTCTTCCAAAGGAAACAATGACATTGTCAACATTTTACATAAGTGCTTAAGTACAGAAGTCCAAACACGCTTTCCCAGCCCTCAGAACTGAAAGTCCTTTTCTAACATCAGAAGATGGTGCAGAAGATCGAGTGTTATAACCCCATTTTTTTTTCCAGTCTTTCAAGCTGCATATTTTCAAAAAGCCTTTTAACTTGCTTCAGTCACTCTATAACATACTGCTTTATGCTGAGAAGATATATAGGATGACATAGTTGCAATACTCCCCACTGAGCATTCAAATTTAAATAGCCTGTTAACTGTACTATAGAACCAATTCCTTAAATCAGCAGCTCACTTTAACTGTGCTGAACTTCTTGTCAGTGTTCTGACTAATGTCAAATGGAAGCTAAAATAGCCAGAAAACTAATCAGAGAAAAACTTCTGTAGGCATAAGAAGAGCTGAATTCTTCTTCTAACATATATGAAATGGGGGCACAAGCTCTGTTAGAGTTTTGGGTGGAACAAGCAGCAATTGTACTCTTCTATTGCAGAACAATTCTGCTTTATGTTAGGAGTCTGATGTAAAAATATCAGGGTAAAACAGGAACCACACACAGAAGTATTTCCAAGTAACATTCCTTTACTGTGTTTGCTGCATCTCTCAGGAAAAACATGTCTCAATGCCAGCTCTTACCTAATCATCATTCTTCTCGTACTCTTTATGCCTCTTAAAAACCCAAGTGCCTAATTCTCTTTACGAAGGAACTCCTAACTGCCTTTCTGACTGCTCAGAAAGATAGTTGACTTCCAAGCTGTTTGGGCAGCTCCCTCATGGCTAGCTAAAGTGCATTAGTAAAATAAATTAATTCATGCTTTACAGAGATGCTCATCATAGCTGCTGAATGTGAAAAAACAGTATTGTACGCAGAAGCATCATTCACACCTACAGCATGGTTACTTGGTGTAGGAATCACAGAATCATTAAGGTTGGAAAAGACCTCCAAGATCATCAAGTCCAATCGTCAAGCCAACACCACCATGCCTACTAACTCATGTCCCAAAGTGCCACAGCAGCTAGGGAGTCCCTTCAGCCAGGGAGTTTAGCTTTGAGGGCAGTAGGAGAAGCACAGTAATAAGGCAAGGTGGACAGAGCCTCTGGGAGCATCCAAATGGAAAGAGAAATGGGGTGTGTGGTTGGTCTGGACTTTAGCTGCTCTCTGGGAGGCCACCTGCTCCCCTCCCTTTCAGGTTGTCCAGGGTAGTTCTAGGTATCTCAGACGTGTGTATTAGCCAAGCGGCACCTTTGTGGTGAGTACTTCCCTGTTACGGACAGGAATTCACAGCCAGATCTCAGGAGAGCTCAGTTGCCATTTACAAAGGAATATAGCTCAAGGAGGAGGCTGGCTAAAGACCTGCGTGCCAGGGGAGAAAGACCTGTGTCACATCAGAACATACTTGGAAACCAATAGGGCTGATACAGATTAAGTCAAGCTTTATGTCTCTCCAGAGCACATAACAGAAAGGACAGGAGAGAGTCTGCAGGTGAAGACCATACGGAAATAAATACCTAATCTGAGGCCAGCACAGTTTCTTATTACCATGGTCCCCTCTGGCTAGTGGTACTTCTCAGCTTGTGAGAAGAATGTGTGTTGTTCTTCTGCTGTCACATAGGGATGTACTTATTGATCTAGGACTAAATAACTTCAATGAACACAAGTCTATGCTTCATGGTAAGCTTAAGTGTTTTCCTGAAGAGGGATTTAATACTATATCTGAATTTAGAACCAGAATACAAGTTTTATGTAAAGCTTTGTATAAAAGTGGACGCATTTGTCATGCAAAACTAAAGTACAATTTGTTGGCTAAAATTAAATTATTCCTATGCAAGCATAAATAATAATTTTGTCTTCATTACATGTGTAAAATAGATCAAAACTTGGGCTTTTTGTGGTCTCATATCTAGCTAATCTTAATTCCCTTACCAGTCTTTAGGGGACTCAGCAGTGGTGTACTTTAACACATCTAGTATAATTTTGAGCTAGAAAAGCATAAACATGCACAAAGTTTTCCCTAAAATGTATGTGAAAATCATCCTACTTGCATGAGCATCCTGTGTAGCAACACAGAGACAGCTGCAGGTATGATCGATCTGCTTCCACCTAGTTAACACATGCTTGGTTTGAAAAACAAATTAAAGAATTCATTTCAAAGCAAATTCTTGCGATGTCCTTATTAAGAAGGGATTCCCACAATGTCTTTAAAAACAGATGCTATTTAAAGAAATTATTAGAAGTTTAAAAAAATTATTACATATTTTTCTTTTTTTGCATTCAGATTTACTATAAAAAATCAAGTTATTGAACTTTGGAGGGAAATTAAGCACTTAGTTTTCTGCTTAGTTTAGCAATTCAGATTGGTGAAAAGTATCCTAAACACTCCCAATTGCTCTCTTTACTTTTTGTTTTTACTTTTTTTTTTAAGGCAGCTCTTTAAGTGCTTTTAATTCGTCAGTTTGGGAACTTATAGCTACCACACAGAGCGTAGTGATTTGTCTAGATTTGCGGGTCTGTCAACAGGCAGTCCACTGTGAGCTACAAACTAGATCAGTTAACTTCATCTAAAGTAAGGGTAATGCATTTTTCACATCTACCCCAACAATATAATTACAGTTCTATAAAGTACAGCTACCTAAATTTGTTTTCTATGGTTCTACAGATAAGTAGAACGTCAGATATTCTATATTTTGCTAATTTGAAACACGTATTAGCTTCTCAAATTAGAATTTCTACTATGTAGATAAGGTCCATATCTATAGGCAGTGTATCAGACACTAACTTCCCAAGAGGCATAATAGCCAGTGCTATTGGTGCCAGATAAGAAAGCTTCATATCATTTAGGAAATTCTAGAGAAAATCAGAGAAGGAAAAGATCTGTGTTCATATTTTCCTACTTCCTTGCCCAACACTACACTCTCTCTGTGCTGCAGAAATGCAGAAGCATTTCCCTAGCTTTACCTGTCTGAAGAACTCCTCTAGCAGAGACATGGTCCAGCGATGATGGAGATCCCAGGCCTTGGCTGGATGACTGATATCTGCTGTATGCAACAACAGCGATAAGGCTTTTGGCTTGTCAATTCTGAAAATCCAAAGGATCAAAGAAATTAGTTGTCTGTTCTGCAGTGGAGAATGACAAAAAACTCACCTAAGCAGGGAAATAAGGTCATTAGAATCTTTAGCCAGCATATAAATGGAATTATTTCTGTGTTCATAAAATCAGACAACTAGGAATGATTGTCTAATTTCTCCAACATACACTATTCCTGTCGTAACATGGACATTAAAAAGTGCAAAAAGAAACTTTGCTGAGCTCCTTTTCATGCTTGCTTGTCTGCACAAGCAGGCTTGAAGAGCTGCTGTGTTTCTCATTTCAGCTGGGCTGCATTTTATGCAGCTCTAAAGAGAAGTTGGTCCCTGCCATGTTACTGTAGTAATTAGTTCAGATATGATCTCAGGGGCACTGATGAGTCAAGTCTACACAGGAAGTGATAAATGTTTCACTGTTAGAAAACTAGTGTGAGGTCAGAAGGTGATCCTTGTGTTTGGTTTCACAGAACAAAAAAGGCTGGCAATTTCTTAAAACTGTAACCTGAGAGGCTAGCCCAAGAACCCAGTAAATAATGCTTTCTTGGGATGGTTAGTCTTGGTTTTTAATTCCAGCTTTTGACTGTCTGAAATAGCTGGAAGAGTTGTAGCTTCTGAGAGGACCAAGTGTCTAGCCACACTCTGGTCTGATACAGGTATAATTCCATGAGGCTCTGCCAGACCTGTGTCCAGGGTGAAAAAATGACCATCACTCAGAGTTTTCCCCAGTATAAAAGGAATTTTATGGGGAAGAGCTATGGACAAAGTATTACAGCTCCCAGTGGCATACTGGGAAGAAGAAAAGGCCTTCCCCATACAGCTCCATCTGTTATCTTCTAGTCCATCCCTCTGGATCTCAAGTTGTTTTCATCTGTCCTCTGGTTATGGAGCAGGCCCCTTGCAGAGGTGGCAGCTGATACCATCTGCAGAAGGGCAATGCGTAAGTTGTGTTCTGCAGATCTTATAACCTCGAGTCATACTCAAGCTGTAGAGGTCACTCAGCTGGATCACGTCCTTGATGTTACCCTGATGTGCAAAGGGAAGTGCCCAGGGAGGCTTATCCCAACATGGTGACCTTTGCAAGCTTTGGTCCACCAGCACAGAATAGAGATGTGTGTACAGGGGGGTGCCAGTCCACTCGTAAGTGAATTCACTCAAAATTCAACAGCTGAAAGAGAATCAATATGGACATCAGAGAGTGAGGGCCTCTGGAGAGGTGCTTTTGATGTCAAACACAATGGCAAAGCACCAGATGAAATGCAGCTCCTCAGTGCACAGTGTTGCGAAGTGACTCACCCTTCTGGCTGCTGCAAAGCATTCTTCATGGCTTTGATTTGCTGGAAGTGACAGGACATATCGGTGGCCAACACCATCTCAATCACTAGAGCTCTGAATTCCCTTTTGGATGGCATCACAATGGCAGGAGCAAGGAAAGAGAAACACAAAAACAAGCATCAGACACACTCCAGTTTCTTATGTTGTCTATCTGCAAATTACTGACAGTACTTCTGCCTTTGTATGTCACTCTCTCCATGATCCCTCTTTCAGGGACGAGGAAGAGGATGAATGATTTTCTACACAAACACAGGAGTGGGAGGGCTGCAAATTAAGCTAGGTGGTTAATCCTTGCCAAGAGAAGTCCTGGATGTTTTTTGAAGAGTGCATTAGTATTAGTACTCCTTTTTCAATTAAGCACAAACTTCTTAAATTGATTTCTTTCACAGGACATTCTTAGAAGGAAGCAAAAGACTGTTTAAAGCCTCCACATGAATCAGGTGAACTTTTGAACCTGAAGCTCTATCCAAGTGACTAAAACTGTCCAATATCTATGTTGAAAGTTTAGTCACATTATTAAAGGAAAAACAGCATGTTAAAAAAAATGTCTTAATATATGTGATGGATATATGCAGCCAAGACCTTTGAGAACCTGCATTATTTCTCTATTATTCACTCAGACTATTCCTGTACAAATTTTTGTTAAGCAAACTTGTTTAGGATCCAGTTCAAATGCCTTTGAAGATAATATGGGTGTCCTAGAGATTTTAAAATATCAGAACATTCTGATCTAGCACACAATATAAATGTATTTTCTCTCAGTTCAGCTATCCACAGGTTAACAGAGGAAGAACAGCCCAAGGTTAGCATACCAGCTCAGGATTTAGGAGATTCAGAAATGGGTCAGCTTTCATTTAAAAATAAAAGTTACCACTCTTCTTTTCATGAATGTTTCATGAAGGACGTGGTCTATTTTGAGCATGTCTCTTTTGCCTCTGGTGGCTGTGCTCAAGTTCCAGCCCCAGGCCACCACGGTGTAGAGACCCAAGACTGCTGTGCTTACCCGCCCCAGGGGTGGCACGTAACAACTTCCCCCAGCCAGGACTTCTGCACACATGCTAAGATGGCATCAGCTGGCTTCACTCTTCCTCTGGATACCCACCTCCTCCTCCCCACAATCATCACAACCAGTTGCATAGCCAATAGCATTAAAGATTATGATATAGAGGATTAAAATAGACTTATTTTAACTTATTTGGGATTTTTTTTTTTCCCCAGTCCTGGTCAGTTCCCTAGTGTGATTCGATCCCAGCAGCGAAAACATCGCTGTCCATACAAGCAAAGGAGGCAGGAGAGGAGAACCTGAATGCATACAAACAAACTTGTACAAGAAAAGGGTGTGATTATACTGTGGGAACAATTAGTGCTTGGGATTGTTCCTGGGAAACAGCAGACACTTCACTACATCCTCTGGAGTGCAACACCATCGTAACGGTCTGCATGGGATACTTTGTCCATAGCTTATTACAGGAGGAATACAAAAGCAAAGGGCTCAGCTCAGGCAAATGAGTCACTGACTTCAGCGCCAGCACGTACATACGCTCACAAGCACACAAATTCTGGTTTGCCTTTTATAGATGTAAATCTGGAATATGCACATTCTCTGACCTCTGCACATATTTCAGAACACTGTTTCCTCCGAAACAGAGAGGAAAAGTGCTTCAGAGACATTAAAAAAGGAAGCTTTTTAACACTCAAGAGGTCACTTCAAACATCAGGCAGCACAACAGCAGGTGCCTTCAAAAGGCCTGTGGACACAGATCATTTACTGCACAGAGGTAATGCACGAGAGAAAATCTCAAAAGACATACGCTAGAGGGTGATAGGTTTGTGCATTTGTTGCCAGGTCAAGATAAGGCTGAAACACGCTACAGAGCGAATCAAAGACAGATATTTAGCCATTTCTTGGGTTTGCTTCTCAGCCACATTCGAGCCTGGGATACCACAGCTGATCCTTTCTGCTCGGACCAGCGTTACCACTTGTTGCTGCAATTGTCTTCAAAGTCTACACAACACATCATGGTGCTGCCACCTGCACACTGCACAGCACTGCTTTCAGCACAAATCCAAAACACAGACAGTTTTCCTAGACTTCTAGGAAGAAAACTAACTCGATCCCAGCCAAGACCAGCACACCTGCCTAAGCAGCCCCCAGAAACTGTTTGCAAGAGGTGTTTCCACTGAGGTATCACTGGACTATATTTCATGATGATAATAACGCATAAAAGCCTGGTCATGTTCTACATGACACACCTTCAGAGTGATCTGTCTTTCATCGGGGCTAACACCTTTATCTCAGAGGCACGGTCTATAAAAGCATGGCCATGGCAGCACAGGCACAGCAAGCCGTCATCACCATAAAAGCAGAGGAAAAGCAAGTCAACTGAAATAGTTGAATCTCCTTCACCTTTAAGAAGAAAGATTTGGCAATCTCCAAGAAGAATTGAGGTAAGAGAAGAGGCTGCGCTACTTTCCAATGTCCACACATTGCCGTGAAACTGTGCAAAAGTATAGCGCTGAATAGATAGGGTTTATAAATATTATTATTGACATATGGTGAAGAGGCAGGCAAATTCAGCTCTCACTTCCACTGTTACCAGTGGGATTAGAAAGTCGGAGATCCCCTTGGTACTTCTGCAATATCTGCTCCCCCTCCTTTATTCCCCAGGATTCAAAGCCACTTTTCTATTCAGGAAGAACTTCAGGAAGAACCAAAGTTGATTCACTCAAACAGTAATTGTCCCCAGTGATTTAGTCAATAACTTGACTCAAGAAAAAATACCCAACTCCCTAAAAAATAGCTAGCCACAAACTGCACCCAGGAAAAGAAGAAATAAGGCAATCCAATCAAAAAGGAAGGAGGACTACACCCCTACAGCCTACCAGCTGGAGCAAGCTGATACAGGCAAACACAGCCTTGAGTCAATCTCCTCCAGAGAGTCACAGCTGCACTGGGCTAAGGAGTCACAAGCAGGGTCATATCAGAACGTTTCCCAGTAAAGGTAACTTGCCCACCAACTCAGGCCAAGGAAATGTCCTAGACACAATCTGCCCTCTGACCACAAAGAGCTACACCTCTTTTATTCCTGGTCATGTGGCATCATGGCAATATGTATGGTACGGATACAGAAAAGGTGGCCTGAGAGCTCCATCATCCAGAATGCTTTTCATTATGTGACAATGACAGCGCTCGTCAGCACCTCCTCCCCACCTGCACCATCTCTCTCACCTAAAAGCTAGTAACAATCCAAACCAATGACAAACAATCCCCTCAAGATGTGGTCTGCACAGTGGCCTTGACCAAAAACCACAAGCCACAGGGAGAAAGGAAACTATTCAATAGCAGAGAGATGGCACCTTGCAAAGTCAGTATCGCCTTCTGCATCTCTACAAGCCATGAAAACAGAGGACAGGAATGACACAGGAAAAAGAGGCATGCTGGGATCTGCTGTCACCGTGGCAGCACAGGCACAGCAAGCCGTCATCA